GCTTTAAACCCCCACCTTTTTACCGTCTCTCACCATTTTTAGGTGTAATTTCCACGTAATTTGCAATTTTTTCCTTAGCTCTCTTTCCCGAGTTGAAGCCTATCACGGGTGTGTTGTGCACCTGACGTCACCAGTGACATCTTTGCAATTAGGTGTCGCTGGGAAGGCAGGAGACCACAACACCGAGAAGGGTGTCTCCGAGCATCCCTTCCCAACGCAAGAAGATGGGATAATTTTTAAATTTTTTTTAAATTTCACAAACATTATCTCCAAATAACCAGGTGCACTCTCAGCAGCTGTAAAATGCTCGAGTAAGTTCTGCCTTTCCCCCCTCCTTTCACAGCCAGTCTCCATCATGGATTATCTCTCTAAGCCCGGGTTCCTCAGTGTCATTGCTGGAGTCGCGTGCGGCGTGTGCCTGGGATGGGGCGTTCGAGGGAGACTTTTAAGACAGCCCAAAACCGGAATGACTGCGCCCACCAGCAATCTGGGGAGCGAAGCTGACATCATGGGAGAGTCCGGAGAGTTCAAGATGGTGCTGATTGTCCGCAACGATTTGAAGATGGGGAAGGGTAAAGTAGCAGCACAGTGTTCCCATGCCGCTGTTTCCGCCTACAAGCAAGTTCAGAGAAGAAATCCCGAACTCCTGAAACAGTGGGAGTACTGCGGACAGCCAAAAGTGGTCCTCAAAGCTCCCGATGAAGAGACTCTGATCCAACTCCTGGCTCATGCTAAACACCTCGGACTGACTGTGAGCTTAATACAAGATGCCGGTCGTACTCAGATAGCTCCAGGCTCCCAGACAGTCCTTGGTATTGGACCGGGACCAGCTGATGTAGTAGATGAAGTTTCTGGTCACCTAAAACTCTTCTAAACTAGGGACCAAAGGAATCTGAACACAGTGGTGTGTATCAGTACTGAAGGGATAAAAATCCAGGTTTTGGGATTTTTTTCTGTATGTTCTCTCAGTATAAATAAAATAATCAGTTTTTGTAAGAGACTTAAATTTACAAATTGGGTTTCTCTAGCTTCTGTATAGTGTTCTAAAGTGGGAAAGCAAATGCTGGGCTCAGGGGAGTTGAGGAAAGCAGAGCTGGCAGAATGTTACTACCCATAAGAAGGAGCCCAGTACACGTAAGTCTTGTGCAATATTGACTGAGGATTTTGTACTTGGTCTGGTTTGCTGGCTGAGTAGAAGTATTACTGAAGTTTAAGTGAATTTGTCCCATGTGCTAAAAATGACAGAGATTCCCCCTCTCTGCCTTACAGGAGGGGTTTGTGGGGTTTTTTTTGTTTAAGAAATACATTCTTTAATTCAGAGAAGATCAGCTGCTGAAGCAGTTAAAGATTGCCCCATACAGCTGGGGGCAGCTGTAGCCAGCTTCCTGCGCCAACCACTTCTAACAGAGTAACTGATGCAATAACTTGTCAGTGGTATGAGACTGATCAAGTTAAACAGGCCTTGCAGCCCTGCCCACAAGATCCAGTGAACAGTTGTGGGGAGAAGCTGCAAGCCACACTCCTTTCTGGTGGTGCAGGAATCTGCAGGCACGTCAGCAGTCCCAGCTTAGCCAAGTAAAGGAGTTACCCTCCATACAAACAGCTTGTCTTACAGCAACTAACTTAAATCCTGTTTTACTGGGGATTAATTAAGTCATCTTGGGTTTAAGGATGTTACTGGACGGAGTTCACACTGCGCTGATCATGGCACACGTGTAAATTTTACCCTTGCAGCTCACAGAACTGACTAGTAAGTGTTGAAGAGCTGTTTTGTGAGAATGCCGCTGCTGAGCACATCTTGCAGCCTCTCAGCCATGTCTTCTGCTCTCTTACACAATGTATTTCACAGGAACTCAGCTGGATTTGTCTCCATCAGTGAAATGTACAGACCCAGTGCAAACACCAGAGGGGTTGAAACACAAGCTTAAGTGTCATTAACACAAAGAACAGAGACATTTTTATAGTGCATGTCTTAGGCATAATACTTTTACAAAGACCAACGCTACTCACTGTGGACTTCTACTCCAACACGCTCTTGAACAACGACCAAGAGCCTGTGGGAGGTTAAGCCCCCCCAGCTGCCTCCACCCAGCCTTACCCAGGGAACTGCTGCAGTGCTGGGCTGATGGGATTCCACACTATGATTGGGGAGTCATGGGGAGAGCAGGAAGGGGAGTCGGGCTCAGAGCTGGACCCTGACACTGGGGATGGAAGCTTCTCCAGCAATCAGATAGGGCCAGTGCTGTAATAATACTCATTATGCTCAAATATGACAGTATTCATAGAGAAACATTTAAGTCAATTTTATTTGAAGCTAAATATACTTAAGGCAACTTACATACCTAGAACATGATCTCAATTTAACTGACATACCCTACTACAATCCTAACGTATCATCTGGTCAATATGCTGTAGTTGACCACAGTGCAGCCAACTCTTGAAAAGTGCTATTTTCTTCTCTCTGGCATAATCTTTCTACAGAAAAAGCATTACAGATTTTCTTGTATTGCCCCCTCAGTGCAAGACACCACTAATGGTCTCCATTGCTGCTCTTCTAATGGCCCCTCAATAGCCTTGAATGTATGCACTTGCGTGCCCCAAACTACTAGCACTGTAATAATACTTGGTTCGAGTTCAAAGGTCCTTTTTGAAGACAGTAAAGTGAAGCTACCACTATGCAGCATGTCCACAGTCCAGTAATTTATTTTTAAATTGAGTAATTTCAAATTGCACAAACAAAACTGAACAGCAATATGCTTGAATTCTCTCTTCTGTACACTCAAAACAGTGATCTAAAACACCACAATATCCAACATACACAAACCTCAGGGCAGGGTTAGTAAATACACAGATTGGAATCATGGTGCTCTGTTCCTGAATGGAATGTCCCACAAAAGCACAGGATACAGCACAACGTAAGGTCATCTGTTACATATGGAGTGAGCAAAAAGACACTAGCATTTTCTATATGCGTAACTTGAAAAACCTGCATAGGTTAAGGAAAAAAAAAAACTTTTACTCATTTTAAGTCAGGCAAGGTTGTCTGTACGCATTTTAAATTCTTTTAGAGCTATGCAATCCAACCAGGGTAGGATATGCTGATTAGTGTTGTCTCTTGTCAGCAGTCTTGCAAGGTCAAATACAAGTATCTTCAACTTTAGCTTTCTCCGAATATACAGTGAGACTTAAATGCATTTAGAATAGACAGTACATACTGTAAGCTGCTCACATACAATGAACTTAAGATTCAATATTAGAGTTTAACACTATAGAGTGCAAATCAGAATCTTCACAATAGACTTAATGGTAATAAGCAGTCCTGCAAAAGCCCACTTGAACAAAGTTGTTTAAACTATTCCCCTTTTAAAGTAAAGTCTAAATGACATGGAATGTGAAAAAGATTTAACATAAGTGATTCAAATAGTTTGCGCTAGAAAAAACAGTCCTTCATGAAATAAAGGTTACAAGAACACGAGGCAGAACTCTTGCTTTTCCCTGTTATGAGTTAAAGCGGGGAGGGACGGTGGAGTTTCAGTAAGAAAATACGCTAGCTCCAAACTGACTTGTGCTGCATCTTACATGCTGTACCCAAAGCCAGGCTGTGGTTGCCCATAGGGAGGTGCGGTGTAGCCATAGCCAAAAGGTGCTTGTGGAGGAACCGCGACACTGGGTCCTGCTGTCAACATTAGCTGGGGCTGACCTGGAAGACAGAACAGTTTCAGCTTTATTCCTTGGTACCAAGAGTTCAGTCAGCAGAATTCCTGCAACTTCCCTCTAGACATCTGTATGTTTAACAAGGGGTTAACCCATTGCCCTGGGTTAGGGTCCTCAGTGGCCAGAATGAGAATTTCCCCACAAAACCTCGGGATGACGGAGTACCTGGCTAAAAATACTGCACTGGGAAGTATGTGGACACTGACAGATTCTTGAAATCTGGGGCAAGTAATTTAAGTTTGTAGAAATCTGATGAGGAGAGAGAAGGGAACAGCTTCCAATTCCTTCAGCATGGGGCTACCCAGGATCAGTTTGCCTTCTGAATAGCATTTCCTGCTCCAGTTGTGTTGGTAACTCTGCTTCATTTAAGGCCAGAATCCTATGCTACAGTGAGCCTGATGGGAAGGCTTGACCCCTGCAGTCCCAGAATACAGAAACACCTTCTGAAACATTCTCCTAAGTCGCATTCACTGCAATGGAATAGTATGTTCTGGAGAATTACATCTTTGATAAGTGTCTGACTTTCAGCTACTTATGATAACAATTTAATAAACCCAATAGTTTGCAGTTATAACAGCATGTTAGGCCAGGACACAGTTTCCAGACTAGTTCAGCCTTACAGCAGCAATTCAAATATATTAGGAATATGAAGTGTGCATAAAGACAACTGCTACAACATTTTTTGCTTTGGAGACTATAGCTTGGGTTACTTGTCACGTGAGTACTCAGAGCTAGATCCTGAAACATCACATCCAGTGGCTGTAGAGCCACAAATATTTCACAATTATTGTACTGCTCCAGGGCATGGTGACTAGAGATGTCCGCTATACACTGGAGGCTCTTTTATCACTGGACAGAATTCAGATTTGTAACTCTTACTAGAATTAGTGGAATAACCCAGATACAAAGGAAATACTCAAGGTAACAGTAAAGCGTGTGGAGCAAGATCCAAGTAACGCACTTGCTGGAGGTCTGGAATAATACAGCTCCTGTACTCCTTTTCTTTAGAAAGTGTCTCTTTAATAAGCTAGGACAATCTTCAATCCTGCAGTCCATATCCAGTCTCAGCAGCAGCATTAGAGTGGTACTTTAGTGTTTTGGAACACATTCCTTTAAGACTTTATTTCACATAAGGAATGTTCACATTTCCAAGGACTCCCTTGGGAAAAAACACTAGTGAAGTATTGTTTTAGAAGCAAAATGTATTACTGACAACACAGGAACTAAAGCCTTACCATAAACAATAGGTTGTGTTTCCGTAGCTTGCTCCTCTTCCTTTCTCAAAGACTCTGATGCATCCAGTTTATCCACCTGGAATTGAGACCAACAATTAAAAAACTCCTCTAAAAGAGGTACTTACTCATGGCAGAGAAGTGGAAAAGCCTTAGTGGTATGTTAACACCCATCAAGAAAAGGAGACCATTTAAAAGTTAAGATCAATTCAAGTAGCAATGTTGGTACTGGTGCAGTCAAGATTGATTGTTTCCTGAAAAAAACCCCTAATTGAGGGATTTGCGGAACTTCTTTGAAAGCTCACTCCAGGCTGAAGCTTTGTACGACAGGTCCCATACTGGACTAGAGCTACTTTGACATCAGTAAGCTCATCAGCATTACTCCAACTACTTCAAACCAACAGCCTTAGGACACAAACTCAGATTTCAGCACAATGTCAGTTGGAGACCTTTGGTGTTGGAACAATTGCTAAGATAATGGCCAGACCTGGAGAAGTTTCCCTGAACAGAACACCGAGGCACAGGAATCTGAAGTTGGTATTTGTATACAGCAGACTGCAATAGCATCCGACATGTCACTTGAGCCTCAAGATTTCACTTTCCAAACCCATTCACTCATGCAATTTAAGTTCAAATGCAGAGAATGCATGTGTATAAGACTTGCTTTTTTCCACTTTAGATCTGTGTGGCAGTCAGCCTAAACCCACAAATACTCAACTTGTTCGAGCTTAAAACACAGTAACAAGGCAAGACTAGCCAGCTTCACTCTGCTGCACTGCAAGTGCAATTGTGCTGTTATACCACCCCTACGGAAAGGCAAGAGAAGAAACTTGTTTTGTAGTGAAATATTGCTCATTACTAAAATGGATCCAAGGAAACTCAGCATTACTACAGTCTAAGGCAGGCCCTGAAACTCAAACCACAAAAA